AATTGATGGTCACTTATTAACGTTCATCCTTTCAAATTCAAAACGCTGGCATACATTTACCTAAAAAAAACTGTCTTCATACGTTTCACTTTTTTGCGATTTATGTGTAGTAAATTTTCTGCAATTTATAGACCGAAGTTGCCCAAAATTTAATATATTCCACAAAATTAGTAATATTTCATTAGTTATCTTTCCATTTTAGTGCACGTTGAATAATTTTGAGGTGATATCCCTCCTTATATATTAATTCAAAATGGGTTGAGTCTAGGTGGCAAACTATCACGCTTCGAATGCTGACATGACGAAAATCTATGCTTCGTGATGTTGTTTTTATATTATTTTTCCTCTGGAGTTAGGTTTAGTATTAGACATAATTAACTTTACACATATATTCATTAACTCAACACCCATGTTGTACATGAATAATAGTACTAGTATTTTTTATTTTAAAATCATGTTCGAATTTTATATTTCATTCTAATAAATAAACGATAGTGCATATCATAGGGAGATTCTATAGTCCCGTTATGGAATCATTTTGTCGGAGTTTGTAACCGTTAGATCAACTATCCACGACGATTACACGATGATCTAACGGTTACAAATCTCGACATAATGGTTCGATAAGGAGAATGTAGCATTTCCTCATATCATAATGACGTTTCAATTATACACATTTTATCAATCATTCAATTAATAAAAGTATAAAACATGAGTTAGAAATTGGAATTTAATTTTGAAACAATAATATATTTCTTCCCACTTCGAGAAAATAACTTTTTGGGTGAGCACTTGACAAAGAATTCATTTTTATTGGCTTCTTTTCAGAAATGGTGCAATAATTCAGTGCTCATTAAAACATATTAAACAACGTGCTAAAATCATACATTTTTTTTTCAGCAAGTTAATAATAAAAGAAAAAATCATTAAACTATAGACTAACTTGCTAAGATTTTTATTAATAATTATTATAAATAATTAATTGATTTTACCAAATATAGCCTAAGTGAATGAACAAGAAATTAAATTATGTGGCAAGTATTTTCATCTGATTTTTTTGTAAAAATGTATATATTTTTTTAAATTTTAAAATCCATTGAATTTCATTAATGCAATGTTTGGTAAAACTAGCTTTTAGCTTATCAGTAATTTTCGATCTTATAGCTTATAACTTATGACTTATAGCTGAAAAACTAGCTCATATGATAAAAGTGTTCGGTAAAATTAGCTGGAATAAAAAATTCAACTAGATT